TAGGTATTTGTTTTGAATCTGTGTTACCTACAGACTGATTCACACTGGATTATTTCATTTTATTATATCACTTCATCCATAAATATATCAGAATGAATTTCTAAAAAATGCCTTATTTAAAATAACAGCAGTCATTTTTAAATATAAAAATAAATATTGATTCCTTAATAGCATCAAATACCTCCATCTTTTAGAGTAATAATTCTAATATGCTACACATTTTACTAGATGTGTCTGAAATCTACTAATTCATAGGATACTCTTCCTCCTCCTCCTCCATTTCTCCTTGCAATTCAGTTGTTAAACTAGGTTGTTTTTTTCATAGAAGGTCACCACATTTTGGATTTTCATGATTTTATTCCTCTAGTGTCGTTTGACAGATTGCTCTACCCTCTGTATTTCCTGCAAACTAGTAGTTCTACTGAAGAATTGACCAGATTTGAGTTCAATTTTTTGACGAGGATGTGTTAAGTGGTGGTATGCCTTTCTCACTGTGGTGCAAAGGCTGATCAATGAATTCAGGTGTTGTCAGGTTGACCCAGTCACCAGGAAGTTCCCCATCAATTTTTCATCTGATAGATTTAACAGTCACTGGTGACCTTTACCTAGATTTAATCTATCATTAGGGATGGTAAAATGATGACATTCTTTTTTTTTTAAAGATTTTATTTATTTATTTCTAGAGAGAGGAAGGGAAGGAGAAAGAGAGGGAGAGAAATATCAATGTGTGGTTGCCTCTCACATGCCCCCTACTGGGGACCTGGCCCACAACCCAGGCATGTGCCCTGACTGAAAATCGAACCGGTGACCCTTTGGTTTACAGATCAGCACTCAATCCACTGAGCTACACCAGCCAGGGCTGACATTTTTTTTTTAAACCAGGGTTACTGAGGTATAATTCATACAGAATAAAATTTATCCTTTTAAATAGTAGTATGAGTTTTGACAAATATATGAAGTCATGAAATTACCAGAAAAATCAAAATATAGAATGGTTCCATCATCCATAAAAGTTCTGCAGTAAATCCCTTCCTTCCACCCCCACTTCCTGGCAAACCATGATCCATTCTGGTCCTTCTAAAATGTGATATAAATGAAATCTGCACGTCTGGTGTCTAGCTTCTTTCACTCAGCACAATGCTTCTGGGAGCATCAGTAACTGCTCCCATCACTACTGATGCAGCAGCTACTGATGCAGCAGCTACTGCAGGGAGCATCAGTAGTTCTTTCCCTTTTTATTACTGAGTAGTAGTGAATGTATGGATATAACCACAATTTCTTTATCTATTCATCAATCAATGGACATCTGGGTTATTTCCAATTTTGAGCTATCATGAATAAAATTGCTATGAACATTATTGTAGATTTTTGTGTGACATTAAGTTTTCAATTCTCTGGTAATTGGTTAGAATTCTGTATGTATGTAAGAAATAGTTAACTGTATTTCAAAGTGGCTGTACAATTTCACATTTTCACCAACTAGTTGTTCCATATCTTTACATTTATTTGGTACTGGAAGTTTTTAAATTTTTTTATTTTAGTGATTCTAGTGGATATGCTATGGCAGCTATCATTTTTAACTTGCTTTTTCCTGATAACTAATGATTTGAGCACCTTTTCATATGCTTATTGGCCAATCTTGTATCATTTTTGATGAAGTGTTTACTCAAATGTTTTGTCTATTTTAAATGAGATTGCCTCTTGAGTTAAGAATTACATTATGTAGTTATCGTTTTATTATCATATTTTTTATCTTACTTTTTCTTCTTTTTCTTGAAGATATCTCTTTAACATATCCTGTAACGTTGGTTTGGTGGAGATGAACTCCTTTAGCCTTTTCTTGTCTGAGAAGCTCTTTATCCCTCCTTTGATTCTAAATGATATACTTGCTGGGTAGGATAATCTTGGTTGTAGGTCCTTGCTTTTCATCACTTTGAAAATTTTATGTTAATCTCTTCTGGTCTGCAAAGTTTCTGTTGAGAAGTCAGCTGACAGCCTTATAGGAGCTCTCTTATACTAAGTACTTATCTCTTGTTACTTTTAAGATTCTCTCTTTCTATTTAACCTTTAACATTTTAATTATGATTTATTTTGGTATGAGCCTCTCTGGGTTTGTCTTACTTGGGACTGTCTGTGCTTACTTAACTTGTATGTCTACTTCCTTCACCAGGTTAGGGAAGTTTTCTGTCATTATTTCTTCAAAGAGGTTTTTAATTCCTTGTGCTCTCTCTTCTCCTTCTGGTATTTCTGTGACATGGATGTTGGCATGCTTGATGTTGTCCCAGAAGCCCCTTAAACTATCCTCATTTTTTAAAATTCTTTTATCTTTTGGCTGTTCTGATTGGGTATTTTCTGTTTCCTTATCTTCCAAATCACTAATTTGATTCTCTACTTCATCTAGTTTCCTTTAATGTAGTCTTCATTTCTGTTAGCGTATTCTTAATTTCTGTCTGGCCCTTTTTTATGTTTTCTATCTAATTTTTATGTCTTTATTAAAGTTCTCAATGAATTCATCTAATCTTCCCCAATGAGCATCCTTATAATAATCAGTGTTTTGAACTCTGCATCTGATAGATTGCGTGTCTCCATTTTGTTTAGTTCTTTTCTGGAGTTTTGTTCTGTTCTTTCATTTAGGACATGTCTCTTTGTCTCCTCAAGTTGGCAGCCTCCCTGTTTGCTTCTATGTATTCAGTAGATCTGCTATGTCTCCAGGTCTTGGTAAAGTGGCCTTACATAGGAGGCGCCCTATGGGACCTAGTGACACAGTCTTCCTGGTCACCTGAGTGGGGCGCTCTAGGTGTGTCCTTTGTGTGGGTTATGTGTCACCTCCAGCTGTAGTTGAGACTTGACTACTTTTGGCACATCAATGAGAAGGACTGACGTTTAGGCTTCTTGGTTGTGAGGAATGACCATGATTATAGCAGAGGTACTACTGGGCAGGGACTGACCCCACAGAGCAGGAGTCACTTTAGCAGGGCTCTGGTGCCTGCTGAGTCTGCCCTCTGGGTGTATCATTTGTGGAGGTGGTTGGATAGTGCTTGAAGTCGACTACCAGGTGTGTTAGTTCTGGGTCCTCTTGGGACAGGATCTGGTGCAGGCCAAGGTCAGCTGCTGCCTATGACTGGCCTGGGGTCACTTTATATGAGGTACAAAGTGATCTGCAGAAGGCTGTCGCTTGTGCTGGGCTTAGAGGTGCCTGGGAGAGGCTAAGCTGGGAACCAAGGCCAGCTGCCACTATTGCTGATTTCAGGGCCACTTATGGCTGAGGCCAGCTGCTGCTTGTTTGGGGTTTATGAACCTTTAAGACATTTTAGGAAAGTTCCCAGAGTGAGTCCCCATTTAGAGTTCCTACTAAATGACCCCAAGTAGTCATTTGTATGGAAAAGCCACTAGAAGCGGCTTTGGAGAACCTGCAAGTTGGATGGTGTGGGGTCTCAGGGAATCATCAGGGCAGGATGAACGTGTTAGCTAGGTTGATAGAATCTCAGACTTGGAGCCTGCCTGCACCTGCAGGCTCTGTGAGGGGAGGCCTTAACAAAGGATAATGCAGCTGCTAGCACTTCTGTCTGGGAGACAGGTGCCCCTCCAGCCCTCGCCCCAAGGCCAGATAAGTCAGTTCCTCCTTATATGTCTGCAATGCTTTTCAAGCTGCTGCCCCAGTACTGGAGCTTAGACTAAGTGAGTCAATCATTGTGCATGTATGAGTTACTGCCTCAGTAAGTGAGTCAGTCCATGTCTTTAGAGGAACACCTGGGATTCCAGAAGCCATCCATCTCACTTAGCCACAATCCCTGCTGGTTTTCACAACTAGAAGTTACAGGGATTTCTCTTCCTGGCACTGGAGCTCAGGGCTGAAGGACCTGATATGAGGCTGGAACTCCTCAATCCTCAGGGGGGACCTCCATAACAAAGATATCCGTTTTTCTTAATGGCCACACCATGGCTGTGGGGCCTGCCTGTTCTGAATGTCTGCCCCTCCTACCAGTGTCCACGTGGCTTCTTCTGAATAGCTTTAGTTTTTCTTTTGTTCCCTTGCTTTGTGAGAGAGGGAGGGAGAGAGAGAAACATTGATGTGAGAGAAACATCAACTGGCTGCCTTCTCATATGCACCCCAACTAGGGATCAAACCCGCAACCTGGATATGTGGCCTGACCAGGAATCAAATCTACAACCTTTCAGTTACTGGATGATGCTCCAACCAACTAAGCCACACTGGCCAGAACTATATCCTTAGTTTTAAGACTTCTATTTAGCTAGTTAGTCTTCAGGTGGTTCTCAATGATGGTTGTTCTGTAGTTTAGTTGTAATTTTGATGTACATGTGAGGAGGCGAGCACAGCCTTTACCTAATCTTTCATCTTGACGCTAATTCTATTTTTATATTTTACTTTTTAATGGTTCACAGTATACTCCACTGTAGTAAATTTTAAATTCTAGGTAAGAAATCTAAAATCAGCATATTTATTGAATGTGATTGCTAAAGTAATGCTTAAAAGAGGGGACTTGATTCTTAGAACTAAATTTTCCTTTGTTTATATTACTAAGTTTTAACCAGCTCTATTTTGTATAGAAACTGCAAAGGTAAACTTTAATTCTAAATGGCTGAATTGTCACATAATCAAAATACTTACAATTAGAATTATTTTAAGTAAAATTTAATTTACTAATGACTATAATTAAAACTGAATTCTTAAATAATGAACACTGATATAACATTACTCTCACATAGGTGCCTTTAGGCACAGTAGTATCTACCTATATGTCTCTCAGGGATTTGGGAACCAAAGGGATAAAACCATGGCAGGGATTCTTATACACATCCCTCTGCCCATTTATTCATGTTCTTAGAGTTCCTCAGCATCAGCCTCAGTGGTATTCTCTTCTACTTGCCTCAGGTGATTTCCTCCAAATCCATGGTTTTATGTTCCCTTTATTTGCTAATTAAGACTTTTCTCTTTAATATTTATTTTAAGTTTTAAGGAGTATTACTCAAGCACTTACCAGCCCATGGGTCCCATTGTTTCTGCCCTTGTTTTCCCACGTTTTGCCTCTTTAAGCAGTTCTTCTATTGCTTTCCTGATGGGAAAAAGGAAGAAATTTGAGAGGTAGTCACCCCACTAAATTCTGAAATAAATTTATTCCACTTATGTGACCTAGGGAAAGAAACAGCTCTGAAACACAAAATTTCAAAATTGGGGAAGAAATTTTTAAAAATGGTTGATAGTTTTGAATACACAAAAATTTAAAAATGCACTTTTTATGGGAAGGGGAAAAACACGGAAAAGAAAACTAAAGACAAAATAACAAACTACATCCATGTTAAAAATGTCCAAATGAATTATTATTCTAAGAAATACAAATTAACCCAGCAATGATGAATCTGGTTTTTGCTCACCTGTTAGTAAGGGAGTAGCAAAATAAATATTCTTTTCTCTATCATCTGGGACCAAAGCTGATGTAAGATTTCTGGAGGACAATTTGACAACCTGATAAAGGGCCTTAGAAATAATGCATACCTGTACACCTAAAAATTCCACTTATCCTATGAAATATTCAAATAAGTATGCAAAACCATAGGCACAGGGATACTCATTAAACAACTTGTTAACAACTAAAGAAAAATAACAAAAACCTTGAATGTTTACTAAGAAAGACAGCTAAAAAATAATGGCATATCCAGATAGAAGATTAGGCAGTCGTTAAAAATGAAGACAAATGAATACGTGGCACACAAAGACATTCATTAGATATTTAGTAAATAAAGCTGGGAACAAAACACACAAAACAATGTACAGGGGTTAGCAAAATTAGGTTTACAGCTGTGAGTACAAGAAAATTTATTCTTGTATTATTATTGATTATGAACAACTGTAAACCTACTTTTGCCATCCCTGTATGTAATTTTATTTTATTTACATGCATATATTGCATAGAAAAACATTTGGAGAGATGTTATATGTAAGGTGAGTCTTGGGGTGCTTTCTATTTTTTTGTTTGCTTCTCTAAATGTTCTGTTTTTTCTAGAATGAATATTATCTGTGTAATTTTTATAAACAGATTTAAAAAATCTGAAAACTTATTTACTAACCATATTCTGGGACTTTACTATGTCTGAGATACTATGCAAGGTGCTATAAGTAGTAAAATATGAAGATGATCATCCCTGATTTTATTACTTCTGACACATAAATAATAAAGTTAAGAAAAAAAGAGGTATAAAGGTACAAACAAATGTAATCCAAAGTATGAATCTAATCAGAATGTTTTGAAATTGGTAACTATATATTGATTCTGTATAAAAACATATACACTGTTACAGTATTACTATATTGTTTATATAATTCTCAAATGATATTAACATCTTGTTAGTTATAAACTGTTTTATCTTATATTGATTTTTATTTTAAGCATGTGCATAGCTTAAAAAGAAAAATATTATTTAAAGACTTATAATAAAATACAGTACATAGTCTTCTGTGTTACCCTTTCTTATCTACCCACCCCAAACAATTTCAACTATTTTTTATCTGTTTCTTTTGGTATCGACTTCCACATTTCTAACAGTATGCTTTCAAACTATTTCAATACCCTCTTAATCTTCAATATATACATGTGGCTATTTTTCTGTAACATTTAAAAAAAACTTTTAATAATAATGAGATCTTTATATAATGTCTTTTCCTCTAACTTGGCAGCATGACACTTACAAATTTTTTACTTATTTTTAGAAAGAGGGGAAGGGAGGGAGAAAGACAGGGAGAGAAACATTAATGTGAAAGGCAAACATTGATCAGTTGTTCCTAGTATGTGCCCTGACTGGTGACTGAACCCACAACCAAGGCATGTGCCCTGACCAGGAATTGTACCAGCCACCTTTTGTTTTGTGGGACAACATTCAACCAACTGAGCCACACTGGTCAAGGCAGCAGCATTATACTTCCTAATCCACCCTGGGAGGGCCCACTGACAGAGTCGGTGAGGAACTGAAACACTGACCAACTGAGGGCTACTTCTTACCCTGGACTCACTCAATTGGGATTATGTTTCACAGGCCAGCCTGCTGGTATCATGAGTAGATAAATGCATCTGATTACCACACGCTTTTCCTTCTACCTCTTTAAAATAATAATAATACAACCTACTATTGTGATCTGAAGGCTTCATCTTATACAGTATTTCATGAAAAATTTATCCTATTCAGCTCCAAAACAGAGATCCCTTTTCACCCTTATAGATTTGAGTACAAAATATCAAAGGGTAAAAATATTCCAAATACTCTATTCCCATCAATTAGTGCAGTAGTTTTCCAAATAAAAACAGGCAATCAATCATGGTTGGTTTCCCCCATGTGCTCTCTCTTTTCCTGACAACAAAAGCAGTTAAAAAATCATTAGGGAAAAACTTGTTTGGACAGTCCCCAATATAAACAAACTATGTATCCATTACAAATAAACTAGAATGCATTTTCTCATAAAAACTCTGCTAAAATTTTTGGCTAGCTTTCTGAACCAGCCCACAAAAGCCACTTTGCCTTGCAACAACACAGCTGAAATGCTGCATGCCTGCAGGAAACAATACTAAGTCAGGAACCTTGTAAGAACCCTGAAGGCCTATTCTAGGCACAGTCAAGAGCTATGAAGTTTGACAGCGATTCTTCTGCAGTTTTGATTTATTTAAAACTATCTCCAGCACTGTTACTATCTGCCATGATTAAGGAAACCTTCTGATTTACAATTATAATTAAAGGGAAAAGAAGGTATGTAAGAAAGACTGCCTGGGGTGAAATGAATTCAATTGTGTTGAAAGATGGTAAAAGGTGGGGCTCAGATTGGGTAGAGACGGCTTTCAGTCAGCTAGTCTTCTCATGGGTGAAGCCCACAACAAACATGGGAAGCAGTACCCCATATCCATGGTTGGGGTAGACCCAAGTTATGGATTTGTAATTGGTTTGACTAACTTACCAAAGGTAATATTGCTAATGATCACAGAAGAGGAGGAACAAATCAAAAGGTTTCATGTGTTTATGGCTATGAATTTCTTGATCTTTCTATTATACTTTTGGTCTCTTCCACAAACATTTGCACAGCAAGTCCTGGAGAAGGCATTTTCTCTTTATTAATAAAAGAGGCAAAAACTAAAATACATGAAAATAAAAAAAGAGGCCCAACAGGGTCGCCACTGTTTCTGCACTCATTCAAGAACTGAGTGACGTGCTGATCCTAGAGGGGCAGAAGGAATGAAGGACTGCTCAACGCTTTGTCCTAAACATCTGAGCTTCACCACCTCCCCACCCCAAATTCTCCTGTACAAGCTCCCTCTGCAAAGCTTTACTTCCAAGAAGGTAAACAACAATTCCTAGCAATCACGTATTCTCTCACTGAAATAATGACATAACCTTCAAAATTGAGGAAACACAGAAAGTCATAGAAGGTAGTTTTCCTCACTACTGCAGCCTGGAACTTTTGCTAATGAATTCCTGAGTAAAGAAATAGCAAGTCCAGTTTCTACTGCACATTTTCACAGAGGATAAATACTTAAATTATCAAAGCTTATGAAACATCAATATCATGAAACAAAATAGTTTTCAATGAGATGATGAAACAGGGTGTAAACTAAAATTAAAATACAGGAAAAGCAATCAGTACAAAAATATATAAGAACTGAACGTGAATAATTACAACATAAGACAAATTTAGTTTTAGTTATAGTAATTTTTATACTTATAACCTTTAAATATCTTCAGGGTTTCTTTGTAAAACAAATTCATTTCATTAGAATATCAAGTTCAACACAAACAAGAAGTCCAAAAAAGCTAGGTCATTAAGCAGACATTTTTCTGGGCACAGGAACAAACTACAATCAATTCTCAATGATACACCCTAGCTCAGCTTCTTCAGACCTGCCTATTTATTCCATTAGCCAGCTGGTACATGCTTAAGGAATGTAAACTAATCATAATAGCAGCTTAAATAAAACCCAAGTTGGAATGCAAATCTGGTACAAAATCATCTTAAATCCAAGTCTAATAAATTAGTTTTGAGTTATCTGGGTCTGTGTTTCATACAAATCAACTGAAAGTCAACTATATCAGGATGTAGAAAGGAAGCAAGAAATTTAAGGCTACTAAAGTGATACAACAAAAATCTCAAGGTAAATATAGTAAGAATAGAGAGATTTTTAAACAAATAAAATCAGAAAAGGTAAATATCAAATAACTACTCAAAGAGACAAAGAGAGGGATCTACATACACTTTTTTAAAAAAGAGATTTTATTTTTTTATTTTTCAGAGGTGGGGGAAGGGAGGGAGGAAAAAAGGGAGAGAAACATCAATATGTGGTTGCCTCTCACATGCCCCCTACTGGGGACCTGGTCTGCAAGCCAGGCATGTGCCCTGACGGGGAATCAAACCACAATCCTTTGGTTCGCAGGCCAACAACTCAATCCACTCAGCCACACCAGCCAGGGCTACATACACTTTCTTGAGAAATGAATGGAAGTATGGATTGAATGTCTGTGTCACTCCCAAAATTTATATATTGAAATCCTAACCCCAATGTGATAGTATTAGAGCCTTTGGGAGATTATTAGATCATGAGGGTGGAGCCCTGATGACTGGAGATGTATTCTTATGTGAGACCCCCTAAGAACTCCCTGGCTATTGAGTACTCCCTGCTATGTGAGTACACAGTGAGAAGATGGCTGTCCAAGAACCGGACAACAGGCTGTCACCACACATTGAATCTGCCCACCCATTGGTCTCAGACTTCTAGCCTCCAAAACTGTCAAAAATAAACCACCCAGTCTGTAGAACCTGTTCGAGCAGCCTGGATAGACTAAGATAGTTAGGAACATAAGACCGAACATTAGATGCTTTCTACATCGTGACTCCCTTAGTCTTTAAAAAAGTCACCTTTGAACTAGCTTTTCACAAGATAGGTGGAAAAAGATGTTCAAATATGACACTAAGCCACCTAAGACTACTCTGAAGGTCTTGATGTGTTCAAACAAACGTGACTGGGTAACAAGCACACAGACTTAGAAAACCAGGAGAACTGAGTGCAGCACCACTGGCTGC